AGCTGGCTCCAGAGACACGTTTTCATTTGAAATAATCTGACAGCCACATGGAGCTTCCTTGAACAGTGTTTGCCACTCACCCCTCTCCTCCCATGCTGTGTCTGGCTCCGTTTTCCCTGAGAAGGCTCAGACTGGGGGGCCTCCAAGTGTGTCCCCCATGGCAACCTGGCCTCTTGCTTCTTTTCCTTCTCACAGGCATTTTATCTCCCTGCCTCTGTGCGTTTGCACACATTGCTCCCTCTGCCTGCAATGCCCCTCTGCCCACCCACACCCTTCCAGGGCCCGTGGCCACCCTGCCTCCTTGCAGCCTCCCTGACTGCCTGGCCACCTGCAGCCCTGTCTTTGGGGTCCGCTGCTTGGCTGCCTGTCGCTGGGCAACAGAGTGGGTGAGGCGTCGACTGTGGCATCAAATCTGTACTCCTGTCGCTGCTCCACCGCTCGCCAGCTCCGTGACCTTGGGGATGATAACTGACTGGTTGGATCATGATGAGTATTAAACAAGAGCCTAAATGAAGCTGCAGGTTCCTTGTCTGGTGCCGAATGGAGGCCCCGTAAGAGTTTCCTTTCCTCCTTTCTAGAGTCTCCTGGTAAATGCTCAGTAATGAATTTTCTTACCCTCATTTGGTTGAAAAAGAAAAAAATGCGTCTCCCTGCTTAATCATGTGGGACTAAACTACCAGAAGATTACAAGAATATTGCTGAGCCATGAGCTGAGAGAAAATAAAAAAGCTCAATAATGATTTGCCCGCTTATTTTTAATAAAATCCTGTCAGTGGAGCTGAATCTTTGTCCTCAGAAAAAGCTCATTTTGCTGCAGTGGTGTCTGAGAGCTGTTGTTAGAAGTGCGGCAGCGTGACCTTGAGGACAGAGCTGCATGGGGAGGACGGCTCCCTCCGAGGCTCCAGTGGCTGCTGCAGGGCAGGTACACAGTGAGAGTCTCCAGCTCCTGCCCGCCCCCCCGCCTTCCGATGCCACTGCCCCTCAGGCTGAGAGGTAGTGCCCAGTCAGGTGACCATTCCCGCTGTCTTGTCCACCCTTCAGAGCTGGGAGACTGAGAGGGGAGCCAGGTGGATGGGGGCTGCAGGCTCTCCATTTGTAGGTCCCATGCCTTCCACCCAGGGCAGTTGTTGAGGGCAGGTGTGGGGTGAGAAAGGGGCTTCTGTCCTTTAGAGGAAGAGGAGCTTAGCACAGGACAGCCCCCAACCTGCCCAGCTCCTTTATTTGATGCCGTGGCAGAGGCTGGGCAGAAGTAGACAAGGGGAGTGCCTTTTAATAAGCTCGCCTCAGGTCCAAGGAAGCTCCCAAGGCAGAGGGTGGAGGACGCCCTTCCCTGCAGTTCACATCCAGTAGTGTCACCCATGCTTTGCTCTGAGAGCTGGTCGGTGGTCCCCTGCAGACTGGTGGGTCCTGGGTCAGGGCAGAGGCCCTGCAGTCAGAGACTTGCCCAAGGTGGGTGCTGAGATGGGACGCTGAGCAGAAATGAAGAGTGCAGATGTTGCCACGGGGGCTGTGGTTGCCAGGGAAGGATGAAAAGGTGGGCTAGACCCGTCAGGGACCATGCCCAAGTACAGGGGGCTAGGAAATGTTTGCAGAAGGGGTTAGTGCATTTTTCCCAGATACAGGGGTGACTGGACTCCATTCTGACTGGCAGTACACTTTGGAGAGAAGGAGGATGGGCTGGTTTGGTGGGTGGGGTGCATATGGGAAAGTCATGGGAGTAGGGCACGATGTTGCAGGAAATGGGGAGCTGTTGGAGGGGCCTAAGCAGCAAAGCCAAGCTGACAAGTTCAAACAGGAATCAGAGCCACAGTATCCTGGCAGCTGTGGCAGCAATGGCGGTGGTCTTTGGGGGCTCTGAGGCAGGGAAAAAGACTTCAGCTTTGAGAAATGAGAAAAATGGGCCCGGGAGAACAGTATGAAGTCATTCCCTTTTGCAGCAAAGCAAGAATGAGTTCCCCATTCAGTTCAGGCCTCAGTTGGGGTGCTGGGCCCCAGGTGTTCAAATCCACCCACCCTCATTTCCTGAGCCCTCCTTGTGCCCCACAGGGCACCTCCAGGGCGCTTCAATTACCAGTTTCTGACCTTCCAGAATGTATCAGGCTCCTCCCAAGTGGGGAATGGCCCCTGACTCCAGCCAGTCCCAAGAGAAAGGAGCCTTGGCAGGGACAATTCCCTGGAGCTTGGTGACGTCCATACTGGTGGCAGTAAGTGACCTGGAAGAAACAGCATGACCCACAGATGCCAAGGAAGGCCTGGATAGGAACTGAACTCCTGGTCATACAGCCACATCTTGGCCCCATGCAGCTCTGACCCTGGGACAGTAGCTGCCAACTGACTGCCCCTTGTGTAAAATGGGGATGACACGAGTACCCACCCAGCGTTGAGGCTAAAAGGGGTGGAGCTAAGGGCTTAGCCCAGTGCTGCTGCAAGCTTCCAGGGGGCAGGTGCCATGTCTCCTCTGCTTACTGCTGTCATGTAAGTCCTGTGCCTGGAACATGCTCTGTAAATACTGGGGTCACGTGTTGCCTATTATGGTTATCGTGGAAATGCTCAGAAAATATTGATACTAGCTAGGACCCTATACCTAAAAGTTCCTCATACATGGTCCCAATAAACAACTTGTTTTCCTGGGCTGGTCTCCTTATGCCTGGACCTTGTCCTGTGAGTCAGTACTAATCCACTGCCAGTGGCTGGTGTCTGGAGAAGGGGCAACTTGGCATTAGAAAGCATTGCAGGGATTTCTGAGTTCTCAGCTACTCCATGAACTTCCTGTTCTGTTAGTGGATTTCTGGGATTCTGCTGTCTCTCTTCTCTGCCTGCTCAGTGGCCTCAGGGAAGAATCTGTTGGAGAAGAGAATCAGTCTTCCTGCCTGTCTCCCTGCTCTGATTCCTGACGCTTGCTCCTTTTCCCTGAGGTGTAAGATGCAGAGTGTCACTGCCCAGGGAAGTTACCAGTGGGCCCTGGGATGCCCCTCTTCCTGAAAAGGCAGTAACTTTCCACTGCCTCTCAAAAAGGAGTTTGCTGAGATCTCCCTGACTTCATCTGCCTCTTGCTAGTTCAGGGTTGCCCCACTTTTCAGTCTGTGGCCCTCTTAGCAGTTCCTAGTCAGGTCTGCCTGTGGCTTTGGGGCCTCCAGGTGTGGGAGGCCCCCCACTTCTCACCTTCATGTGAATTTTAAGGGAAATTTAAAGCAGTTGGAAAGCTCTTTGTAGCCTAATTTCTATCACAAGCTTAAAGGGCTGTTTCCAGGTAAAATTAGAAGAGATCTTGAGTGCATTATTGCTCCCCCAGAGGTGTTCTTTCAGAAATGCAGCTATTCTCACAGCAGCTGGTATCCTGCAATTCATTTCTTGCACTAACAACCCAGAGTAGGCATCAGACTCTAGGGGCATTGTCCCCAGCAAGACAACCCTGCTTCAGACACCAGCCGCTAGTGGGAGCCCCCGATGCGTGTACTGCTGACCAACTGGTTAAAAATACAGGCGATTTCCATAACCTATCCCCATTCAGTAATTCACTGGACTGTGTCACAGAACTCCAGAAAGCACTGTGCTTAGGATTGTAGTTTTATCATAAAGGCTGCATATCAGGATCAGCCAAACGAAGAGACGTATAGGGCGAGGTCTGGGAGGGTCCTGAATGCAGGGTTTCTATGCCCTCTCCCTGTGAAATCAGGGCATTATCACCCTCTCCAGTATGTCAATATGTTCACTAACCAGGACTCCACCAGGCTCCGTGTCCAGAGTTTTTACTGGGGTCTCATAATGTAGGCATACTTGTTCAACTCATTGGCAAAATGATTGAACTTGATCTCTAGCCTCTCTTCCCTCTGCAGCAGCTGGATTGGCTCAAGGCCCTGACCCTCTAATTACATGGTTGGGCATGGCCAGCCCCATTCTGAAGCCATCTGGGGCCCCACCATAAGTCACCTCATTAGCATAAACTCAGGTATGATGGAAGTGGCTCAGGAATAACAAAAAAACTTGCATTACCCAGGAAATTCCAACGATTTAGAGAACTCACAGGAACCAGGGACAAAGATGAGTCAAATTCTTTTTATTGAGACAGAGTCTCACTCTTTTGCCCGGGCTAGAGTGAGTGCCGTGGCGTCATCCTAGCTCACAGCAACCTCAAACTCCTGGGCTCAAGTGATCCTTCTGCCTCAGCCTCTCGAGTAGCTGGGACTACAGGCGTGTGCCACCATGCCCGGCTAATTTTTTCTATATATTTTTAGTTGTCTAATTAATTTCTTTCTATTTTTGGTAGAGACGGGGTCTTGCTCTTGCTCAGGCTGGTTTCGAACTCCTGAGCTCAAACGATCCACCCGCCTCGGCCTCCCAGAGAGCTAGGATTACAGCAAATTCTTTATTATACAACAGTGTTGGTGGTATTTTTTTTTTCGTCTGATATCCTGGAAACTGCCTCAGCTATCTCAGTTACCTGCTACCTCCTTCCACTTTTAAGCGTTTCCTATGTTCCTTGCACCTTTGTTACCTTATTTCTTACTGCAGCCCTCTGAAGTCTTTGATCTTATTACACCCATTTTAAAACAAGGAACTGAGGTCCAGAGGGGTGGTGACCACCTCGAGGTGACACAGCTGAAAAGTACCCCAGCAGGATGTGAATCCAGCTAACCAATTTGGGTCAAAGTTGGGGCCTTCTGAATTTGATGCTGAATTTGGGCCCATTAGCTGGGCCCCCTGGGTCAAGGAAGACCTGAGTTTGGGTAGTGGGAATTCTCGGAACAGTGGGAGGCTCTTCCTTGGCAGCACTCTGGTGCCTGGCAGGCACCCCCCAAAGCCCATCTCCCTGGTGTAGAGACTCAGCTTCCTGCCTCGATGTCTCTCCCAGGGGCCTGCCTCCCGCTGCTGTGTTTCTACAACTCGGCTTTTCCTCCATGCTTTTTTGTTTTGTTACCTGTTTTCTTCACATGTGATGTGTTTAGAAGACCCCAGCTCAGAGGCCGTGGCTGAATACCTGTCTTCTTCTTATTTTGCAGTCGGGAAGACGTCTCTGATCACGAGGTTCATGTACGACAGCTTTGACAACACCTACCAGGTGAGAACCTGCGTGCCCACCCTCCACCAACCCGGCAGCCAGCTGGCCTCTCTTTGGGGCTTGCTAAGTTGTGATGAGAGTGGAATGGTCCCCGGTTCTTGGGGTGTCATTTTGCTGTGGAGGAGCTTCCCACCTATAGACTGACCACGTCCCAGTAAAGATCTTGAGGCTGAATGAAGATCCAGACCTCAGTAAAGGCAACATTTTCCAGGGAAATTCTAAAAACAGAAAGGACACATTTTGGTCTGTCTGAACCATTGTAGTGTTTGGTTACTTGGGGTGGGGGCATAATATGGAAGAGGAACAAGATGAAAAATGAAAGATGAAAGAGTATAGGAGATCTCGCTTCTCAAGAATGGTTGTGTTTGCTGGGACTTCTCTCTCTCTCTCTCTCTCTCTCTCTCTCTCTCTCTCTCTCTCCCTCACACACACACACTCTCACACACACACACACTCTCACACACACACATACTCTCACACACACAGGCTTGTGTGATGGGCTAGCCCTTCCCTACATGGGCAGGGGGCTAGATGGAGTGACCTCTGTAGCTCCTGGCTCAGGAAGGGTGGTCTGGGGTCAACCAGAGGCCCAGAGGTCGCTCCAGGCAGCCAGAAGCTTGAGCTCTTGGGCATCGATAACATGTCACTTTTCTGGTACCACAGGTGAATGGGGAGGTTTGTGCAAGTGAAGTGAATTTTCCTTGGAACTATAGCTTTTTGAAAAAAGCACCAAACTTAATCATTTCAACTATTTTTAAGAAAAAGGATATTCTTTTCTTCCTTAGGATAGAGGCAAATAATAATGCATTTTTCTTATTTATTTATTTATTTTTTTTGAGACAGAGTCTCGCTCTGTTGCCTGGGCCAGAGTGCAGTGGCATCAGCCTAGCTCACAGCAACCTCAAACTCCTAGGCTCAAGCAATCCTCCTGCCTCAGCCTCTTGAGTAGCTGGGACTACAGGCATGTGCCACCATGCCCGGCTAATTTTTCTATTTTTATTAGAGTCGGGGTCTTGCTATTGTTCAGGCTGGCCTCAAACTCATGAGCTCAAATGATCCTCCCACCTTGGCCTCCCAGAGTGCTAGGATTACAGGCGTGAGCCACCGCACCCAGCCTGATAATGCATTTTTATAAGCCATGGATTCTGTGAGATATTCATTCCAAGAGATGTTAGTGGATACTGCTTGAAAAAAAGCAAGGATGGGGGTTCAGAGCTTGTATGGTTTTGGGTGAGCAAAAGTAAATGGACTGCTCCACTGCAGGGCTTCTCAGGGCCTTTTCTGCATCAGTGTATGGCCCTCGATTTGTTGAGAGAGCGCTGTCATGTGCAGGATCTCCCAGATGTATTTGGTCATGGAATCCCTTTGTCCTTAAGTCCTCAAAGGACAAATATTTATAGAACACGCTGGGTACTGCTGTTCTAAGATGCTGTCTGGACTCAGAGAAGACACGGAGCACACACAGCTCACTGCAGTTTACAGTTTGTATTTGCTTTTCAGTCTGTCTCCCTTTGGACCAGTCATTGCCCTTGCCTTACCTACAACCCATCTCTACTTCCTTTTAATTTTCACTTTTACTCTGCTATGGTCTCAGTTTTTACTCTATGTCTGCTTTTACTCTGCTGTGGTCTGAAATGCTAGAGAACCAGCTGACTTGGTGGGAATTGACTGTGGGGTGAGAACGTGAGGCTCTGGGAGTCAGGCCTTCGTGCTGTGCACAGCCCTAGGATGTGGGCTGTGGGATGTTTGTCTGGGTCACCCTTTTTCTTTGTTGTGTCCTTCCTAGACAAGGGCTTTGTACCCGTGCATCAGTTTGGGTTAGAGATGACAGCCCTGAGGGACTTAATTTCTGAAATCTGACTTGGAATTCATTTATTTTGTTGTGTGTGTTTGTGTGTGCGTGTGTGTGTGTGTGTGTGTGTGTGTGTGTGTGAGTGATCTCATATATTATTTTGATTATTTGATTTTTTGGATATTAAGTTACTTATAACGTCTCCTGTTGGTGTCCCACTGAAAACAGTGAGACTCTTAGCTGGTTGGTGTTCTTGGCAGTGGTGGGTAGCAGAGGTGGCCCGATGGCCTTTGCAGTGGTCCCCAGTAGCGTGGATCAAAGCCTCCAGCTCCCTCCTGTGTCATTCGAGTTCCTCAAAATCTCACCGCAGTTCCACATCCAGTGTCATCTCCCATCACCCACAGCTTGTCCTGCATTCCATGATCTGGCAGGTGTCCCTGCTCGCTGCTCCCCATGCGGTGACACTGCCATGCTCCCACCTCGGCTCATGTCGTTGTCTCTGCTTGCGTGCCCTTTACACTCTTCTCTGCTACGAAAATTCTCCTGACTCATCAAGGCCTAGAGCAAATGTTTGCTCTGAGCGGTGAGGCCCTTCCCATGCTCTCCACGACCCTTTCTCCTGTAGCACGCTGTCCTCTGGGCTGATTAGCTTCCCAGGTCTGTGGTAACTCATGTGCTTCTGGCTTTGAGTTGGGCTCTGGGTTTGGCTAAGGCCAGGACCCCCTAGGACCCACTGCTGCATTCATAGGCCCAGTACAAGGCCTGGCCATAATTGGTGTCACAAATGCCCGTTGGCACAAAAGTGGCTTGGAGAAACACTGTCTGCCTGGGGTTTTAGACCCCATCAGACAGAGGGGTCCCAGAGACCCAATGTCATGGCAGAATGGAGAGTAATCCCAGAGAGACAACTGCCCTCCCCATCGCTGGCTTTTCTGACTTTTAAAAAATATTGTAGCAGGTGTAATTCCTTTCCCAGTACTTTAAAAATGGTAATTAGGCTGGAAGGCCAGACTTACAATTCTGTGCACAAATAGGCTCGTTTTAATGAATTCTCCGGAGACGAAGAAGGGAAAATGTTATATTGTTTGTTTTGTTTTTCTTAACGTGGTAGCAGAGGCATTGGGGAAGTAGACGAGACTCTCAAGGACTTTGGGGGGTGAACTTCACCTCCCCCACATTGTCCCCTGCACAGTGACCACTCCACACACCCCCACAAAGATTCAACAGCCAGTGCAGCCTGGCAGAGCCTGCCAGGTAGGGGGCAGGGATGGCCAGGAGAGTCACAGGCTGGCTCAGGCATTAGCATTTTTAAAACTTCAGAGGTGATCACAAGGAACTTACAGCCAAGGCTGGAGCCCACTGGCTGGTCCCTGGACCTCACGTCATGCACAAGTCAGGAAACCATTGACCTTTTGTTCTCATGAGGTTTCTCCAAATGATTCCTTTGTGCAGTATTTGTAAGGTGATTTAATAAAATAAATATGAGTGTTTACTAGGGCCTGGTCATTGGGTCTACAGGACATCAATCTGGTTTCTCAGCCCCGAAACCAGCGCCTGCCCCTCCCTGATGGTTTGGCCTTTCAGAGAGGAGCGGGGCTGCAGCTGGGCACATACGCTGTACATTACAGATGCTCAGGGAGGGGCACGTGTGCGGGATCACAGTGCGTGGAAAGCTGTGCTTTGTCTGATGTTGTGTGAGGTGCCCTGATGTCTGTCTTTCTGGGGCATCAAGTTCTGCTAATGCTTGTCCAGCCAGACTCAGATGGTCCAGAGGTTGCCGGGCTTGGACAGCACCACCTTAAGGAACCAAGCCTCAATGCCAGCTTTGCTGAAATAGCCACCTTTGCTGAAATAGCCACCTTTGCTGCTGTGCCTGAGATAGGGCTCAGTGGGGAAAGTGGACCTGGGCGTGAGTCAAGCAAGAAGGCTCTCTGTGGACACACTCCCATGCTCACGGACATTGGTCTGTGGTCGCCCCCCACTGAAGGAATTGGAAAGGGGTGGGAGGACTTCAAGAAAGATTCTGAGGTCACAGAGCATATTTTGCTGGTGGTTCCGCTGTAAGGACATGGATGAAGTCGTTGGATCCCTGCCTTCCAAAGAGCTCACAGCAGTGGAGATGGCCAGGAGAGAGATGTTCCCTCTGATGGGCCGGGAGGTGACTGGTGCCTCACTGTGAAGAGGAGGTGCACTTAGACAAGATGCCGGTCAGTGCACAGGGCTCAGGCAGAGGGCTCTTGTGGCCACAGCATGGAGCACTTGATCAGCAAGAGGCAGGAGACTAAGAAGAGCCAAATCAAGTGCGTCTAGGACCTGATCCCCAGGGCATAGGGATGCTGCATCCATCCCAAAGGCTGATGACAGAGTCCTGCCAGTCCATCAGCCAGGGCATGTGAGTGCACTGTTCTGGGCATGCAGCTCTGAGGGGTACATCCTGTTGTCGAGTGACCAAGCTGCAAATCTGCAAGGAGGCAGATCCTGGGTGAGTGTGATGCTCAAAGTGCAGGGGCAGGGCTCACCGCTACCCCCGGTGTGATCACAGAGCTCATACCACAACAGACACCGCTGTTGTCATCCAAGCACCCTCCTGCTCAAACTCCTGGCCTCAAGTGATGCTCCCACCTTGACCTCCAAGAGTGCTAAGCTAAAAATTGTATTTTTACAGCTAGTTGGTATAAAGCTGAATATAATTCAGATGAGATTCATTATTATATTCATTTCTTCTTCTGATTTTAAGAGAAATGAAAACTAAAACATTTTCATTGGCCTCTAAAAATCTTGTGGACAGTTGCCTCTGTGCTTCTTGTGCCTGGTGGATAAGTTGGCCCAGGTGACTGGGATTGTGGAAGGCCCAGGGGTCTTGGGCTCACTGCACTGGGCAGGAATGGAGCACAGTGGAGGGTTCCTGACCTGGGCACTGGTGGGATCAAAGATACAGAGCTGGTAGGAGGTGGATCTGGAGCGGGTGGGCTGGGGCCAGGGGTGACAGTGGAGGCAGGGCATTCACAGACTTGGATCCAGCTGTGTGTGTAGAAGGGCAGGGCAGGGGTGCGGGAGGGACCACGCAGGGCTGTGTGGGAGGTGAGAGAGCGGCCTTGGCCTAGGAGAGACTACAGCACAGCGGAAGGGGCGAGTGAACAGAGTGTGTTGTGGGTACATACAGAAAAGGAAGAGGCCTGAGTGGCTGCAGGTTTCCGTCCAGACACCC